AGACATTATATTGAGTGAAATAAATCACAAGAGAATAAATATTGTATGACCTCATTTATATGAAATGAAAAGAATAGACAAATATAGAGAGAGCAGTGGCTATTCGTGGTTGGTTACCTTCCTTTGCCATAAGACCAGAAGAACTGAACGGTGCATGGCTACTATCACTGAACATTTTGATCAAGGACTCAGTAGATGAGTCCTGATCAAAAGGGGAAAACTGTAAAACACATTTCAAATTTCTTATAGAATCCAGACTTACTAGATGCATTGAGGCTAGAGGAACTCCCAAATCTGTTGCCGTAATAAAATTTTGGAACCTTGAACATAAACTAACCCCTAACATCATTTTCAAACTAAACAGTGTAACTGAATTAGTAAAGAATGTTTGCCCTTGCAGCTGAGGAACTGCACTTTGTAATTTATGTAAATAGTGAACGTTTAAAAAACAATATACAAGTCAGTTACCAGAAAACATTTAAGTATGTTTAGAACTTGAGTATGTACTTCTGTTTTTTAACTGTTAAGTTTTTAAAAAATCAAAATACAGATCAAGAGTTTCTGATGAACATTTGACGTTCAAATTGAGAATTTTATAAACTAACCATGACTTCAACATGATAGTCACTCTAAATTTTAACATAAATTCCAATGAAAGAATTTATTAACTTAGACAAGTAGAATGAATAAAAAGATCTACATGCTACTTCCTTTTGGAGACTTTTATGTATTAAGTTGATAATGTACAATTAATTAATACTAACTGAATTACATTGGAGGATTATACATACAAGGGACTTCAAAAAGTTTGTGAGAAAATTTCATTATTTTGATTGTTTTTTCATAAACTTTTTTTTTTTATGTTTTATTGTGAATTATGTGATCATTTACATGGGAGAGCATTAGTTTTACATTCATCCTATTGTATATCCTTTCAATGTCAAGGTTATAATCCCCTCTATGCACCATCAACCAACCAAAAGGTATACCCTACAAGCCTGGCCGCCCCTCCCCCCCCAGTCATCAGCACACAGCCCCTCTCCCTCTCTGGGTCTAAAGTCCCCAGCTGCTC